AATCAATGAAACATGTTTAATATCGAAACTAAGTCTAAAATTAATTTCATTCATAATTTATTTTAAAAAATTATTTAAATTTTCCAATTTGTGAACAGTGTGAATTACCTAAATTTTTATAGGTACAAATACATATATATAAACCATTGATTGTGACAACATATTATGGCTCCGTATATGATTGTAGAGTGTGAACGTAACCATTCAGTCATTTTAATGTATGTATATATGCGCTACCTAATCTTATTGTTAATAATTTTTATGCCTAAATTGTATAGTTTAAAGAAAATTGAAAGAAACAAAACACATTGTTGTTGAGCAAACAAATATATACTTAAGTACTTAAGTATTTACTTACATAAGACACATAATTACTTTACCTTTACATTAAAATTTTTTTTTTTTTTTACTCAATTTATTGTTGATTTTATATTTTTTAAATATTTCACACATTTCTTAATATGATTATGATTTTTAAATTTGCATAATAGGCATTTTAAAAAGCTAGTATAAGAAGAAAGTGTGTAAGTGTGTTTTTGTAATATTTTACGGGTTCAGTGATTTTAACAGTATATATAATTATTAATATTTTTATTGCGGTTTGATATTAATTTGTACATTCTTACTTACTTATTGGTAGAATTGAAAAAAAAAAACAGATTTATTAGTTTAAATTTGTTTGTCCGTTTACAAAGCATTTGCGCCTTTTAAGATAGGAAGCTGAAATTTTATTAAGTTACTCATAAGATGATCTTTCCGGCAAAACTATTTCTCTAAAATAAAATATTTACATTCCCTCAGCCTCGCTGAGTTATGCTCCTCAAACTTCTGCTAATGTCATGTTATGGCAATTTATTGTAACACAGAGACTTGTTCCTCCAAAATAGTACAGTTTGCAAAACAGTACCCACCACCACCATCCTTTTCGAAATTAAAGCTTTTCGAACACAATTAGAATTTTCGTCTCATTACTATTTCGAAAATATAAGTTTCCAAATTTCGCTTCCATTTTTGTTTTATATTTTGTCACATATTTTTGAACATTAACAAAATTAATTTATACATAAGTATACTCGTAGTAGAAGATTAATTTAAAAAAATCTATTTCTACTTGTTGCGAGATTTGCTACTTTACTGAATCGAATTAAATAACTGTTACGAATTTAAGTTTGGTTATGGTATTGAGCGATCTATTAATATTTGACTCAAATTGAAGTCGTAATTTGAGCTAATAACGTTGCTCCTTCTTGTAAATCAGCTAGTTTTGCGAAATTTAAAAAGTATCAATAAAAAATTTGATGATTTTTATACATAAGGTTTTGCTTGATAAAATATTGACTGATATTTTATTGTAAAACGTGAAGCAAGTAAAATTTTCCTTTAAATTTTTATACGTCTACAATTCTTATCTTATCACTTATTTTATTGATTCGTTAACAAAAAAGAAAGTGAAAACTAAACTTATCTAAAAATTCTTTATCTTGTTTTTCTTTTCAAAATAGTTTTGATTATTTTAATTGCACAATCATGTTTACTACATGAAAAAAAATTTAGAACTGTAACTATAATTACAATCTTTTCATTATGGGTTTGTGCAACTACAAAACTTCGTCTTTTAAAAATATTCTTATTGAGAAATGTAAATGAATGTAGAAACGAAATCAACAATGTATTTTATTATAAAATTTAATTATTTTTATAAAGATTCCCGAAATTCAAACGTTTTCCGACACATTTACTCTATACTTACTGTATTACAATGGCGAGTAATGGTAAATCGTACCTTGTCTGGTGGACCTCAAGGGGTTCATTATCTACACCCTATATAGTGTCGTCTGCGACTCACTATACTGATATTGTGTTGGCCGCATGTTACAATAGAATTATTATGTCAGCCATGGCTGATGACACGCTTTATATTTCCGCTGCACAAGGGTGCCCACTGGGCGGGGTTCTTTTACCCCTTCTATGGTCTATTGTGGTGGATGACTTCATCGTTGCTACACTGAAAATGTGATCTTTGGCGTGCGGCTAAATATAAATCACAACAAGAACACTTTTGTTGCCTTTGTTGCAAAACGAAGAAGCAGGGAACGATTAACGAGTACAACTCTGTTTAGTGAACTTTTGGCGTACTCCAGGGAGGAGTAATCCTTGGATATCATCAAACTTGGAATACTCATGTAGAAAGGGTCATCGAAAGAACAACGACCGCCGTGTGGACGGGTAGGAATTTTGTCCTGTGGCTATTTACGGGCCTTGCTGGGCATGTCATTGCCTATGCGCCCGTAATTCGCTTTTACTAATAGCGAAGTTAATTTTTAAATACAATAAAATAACAATAATATCTTAAAATAATTAATAATTTAAAATTTTTATTAAAAATGGTTAAAATATTGCTAAAAATCTTGTGGCTAAAGTAATCAAAATGACTTGTTCCCAGTTAAAGCTCGAATTCTTTAGATTTGATTTTACAATTCTTTATAAATCATTTCTGGGGCGTTTGAACTTTCCTTTGTTTACTATTATCCAAGTTTTACTGAATCAAGTGTGTAAATACAATGATTTTTTTAAGTATGACTTACTTGTTTGCATACATTTAAATTTCGTTAAACTTTCTAATTGTATTAAAGATTAAAAATATTTTTCTTTTAATATTCTACTAACTTTTTTTTTTCAAAATTAACAACATTAATATTGAAATAAAGGCGAAGAAAAATAGTGTATTCAAAAAAATAAAATCAATTTATCAGCAAAAATAAAAATTTTGAGATAAAACTGGGTCATAATGAAAAACACAAGACACAATATAAAAATCAGAACGGAAGGGGCAGCTTTTTCGTTTGTGTATGACATTTTAACATTCAACAATACGAGTAGCATTGAATGTACATGCATAAGTATGAGCATTGAAGTGTATATGAGTTTTGGAGCATGGTGGGTATGAGTATAAATGTATATGATTGTTTGAGTATTTAAAATTATACGTTGATGATGAAGAGGAAGACCTTCTGTTCAATGCATGAGTGCATTTCAATATTAGGTCCAAAATTATTTTTTTCTTTGTTTTAGTTCCTTTTTTTTTTGTTTTACATTTCAGTGAACGTTATTTCAATCACAACATAAATAATGACAAATTTGTGTATAACACAAATGTACGGATGACTTTTTTTTGTTATTGTAATCCATTTCTATATTATTAGTATGTTTTATATTTTGTTGTTAAACAAAATGTCATACTTTTTGTGTTAAAAAAAAAAAAATTTTGCAACATTTTTTTAAATCACTTGTGAATGAGTTTTGCATTTATTTTTTCTTTTTTTTTGTGCAAAATGTATGCCATTAATTGTATAAGTATGTATACTTGTATGTATTACGTACTTTGTACATAATATACTTGTGTATATATTCTTGTACTTAAAAATTGTAATTTATGTATAATTATGAAGTATGGTGATTATAAAATTTCTTTAAAAAAAGGGAAAATCGATTTTAAAATTTTGTTTCACCTTGACAAGCTGAAAAAAAAATTATATAAGTATAAAGCCACGTACATATATATTAACATTATTTATGTATGTATGAACGTTTGTATGTTACAATTTCAAAATGTTTAACTAATCAATAAATTTTAAAAATAATTGCACTTTTAATAATAATTTAAAAGATTAATCTCATAAAGTTGAGTATATTTCGGATGTTTTATCGCACTATTTGTAAAAAAAATTATAGTATTTTAAAATTTTCCATGAAATTTCTCTCACAAAAAGTTGTAACGGTATAACTCAGGTTCTATGTTACCCATTCCCTATCAAATTAGGCTTGAAAAGTTATTTTCTTTTTAAATCGAACTAATTGATGTACATATATAAGTATGTGTAAACTCACCTCGATGTAGAAAAATTCGATATACTTTAAGTTACTTTACTGAAAATCGAAAACTATTGGCCTCAAGAACGACTTCAAGCGAGGGATTTTTTATACTAAAATATAATCAAAACAGTGAACGGCAAATGGCGTACGATATTTGTTGTTAACCTAGAACTAGAGCGGAACGAGAAAATTAACTGTATACGTACAGTATTTTGCATATAATGTCACAGACAGATGGAACGAGGTAATGCCAGAAAAAAAGCCGGCAATAAAATAGGAATTTAGGTTATTTTACCGTCGGTGGTGAAATTCGCGGCGTCGATTTCGCTCGATTCTGAGCACTGCCATACATATATTGTATTCTTTATGGATTCTGATATTTCGCCGCGGAAAATCGCTTTTGTTCTGTTTTCAACTAAGGTACGATAAGTTATTAATGTAAAATTTTCTCTCAAAAAAGTAAAATAGCTCTGAAAATACATATATTTTCCATATTAAAAAACAATATATTGGTATTCAAGTTCGTATATAAAAAACAATAATCTTCGTTTTAACTGAAATTCTTACATTTCCTTTTCACTTTTTAAGGCAAATTTCTTTAATTTCCCTGTATCACTTCCTAATTTATGATATCACTTATACAATATTAGCTGCAAGGCAATTTAAATTGTAGTTCAATGTATCATAACTGAATGAACGCAATTATTCGTATAGTTTTATACGCCACGATAAGGGAATTGTTCTGCTTCTGGTTAATGCTATACGCTACTTGTCATAGCACTCTATATTCTTCTGATTTTATTTAGTAATCCAAACAAAAAATCTCTTGACGATGATATTCCTTAGGAAACTGCTTATATAATAGTTCTTCAATAATTAATGCAATCACACATTCTTGATGAGTATAATAATTAAGTATTCAGAGGTGGTTTTTAATGATTAGATACTTTGCTTAGATTGAAATTTTAATTTCAACAATGAAGTACAAACAATATCACATACTTATAACCTTGTCCAAATCTATTATTTAATGCCTTTTGAACACCCTTATGTTACCATTTCTTTTTACTTTAAATTTAAATCTTAAATTATATAATTAATCATTATTATCTTAAATTTTATTTCAGATAATTCAAATATAGATCCTTCAGAAGAATTTATAAGTCATAGCATTATCAAACCACAATTATTTCATGGAAAACATAAAAATTCTATAAAGAGTACTTTAGTAGAAGAGGTAAGAACAATAGCTGTATAAACATTGCTTTTAAAATAAATAAGTATTAGCTTTGTATATAAGTATATGTAAGCATAAAAATATTTAAGATTCTTAGACGAATAATATTGATAATATTTTAAGATATAAGTATACTATAATGCTTATACCGTTTAGAAAAAAGGAAGCTTTTAATATGTAGACAAATAGAAGACCTTGAAAGATCGTTATCTTTATGTATTTAACATTGAAAGAATATTTTGACAAAAAAATGCAATATTATGTTTCTATAGATGTAGATAAATTAGAATCTGTTGAAGTGTTGTTGAATATATAATCAGTATCATTATGAAATTTTACGTGCCAGTAAGTGTTATGTAATTCGGTTCAATGAAAAATCTGCTAAAGAGGTGCAACGAAGATAAAAAGCATGAAAGTATTTTGCATAGAATAGAAATTCAACGTGATTTTACATAAAATTTAAGAAAATTAACAAAATTATTCAATAGTTATACAAAATTCGAATTAGTTTTATCTTCCAAAGGTTAAAATTAGATAATTTTACGGGATTCGTATTAAACATTTTTTAAATGCCGAAATCAAAATGAGAAGAAACTAAAAGTGTTCTTTTATCATTTGGTTTATTTTTCATTCGACATAAGCTTCCAAACTGAATTTTATGACCCAAATTTAAAAAAAAAGTATTCTAAATTTCGAATAAGAAGTCGAACTTTAAAATTCATGTACTTTCCATCCATTTTTGGCCAAATACCAGAAAATATAAGAAAAATGAGCTATGGACTGAATTTTGCGAAAGAAAAACAATAGCAAATTAGAATTCAGTAGATAAATTGTAATTTTGCTGGGCTAGGATGTACAATATACGTTTTTTATTTGCTAAAGGTTTTTTTAAATGCTATGATCAACTTTAAGTAAAATTTCGCTTTTTATAACTTTAATGCCAAAAACTTTGAATCGAACGATATTGAAAACTTTCCTGTTTTTCTAATTAAAAAACAAAAATTGGCAAAATTAAAAAAAATAAGAGTAGGACTCGTATGTATCGGTTCATATCCAATGACTAACAGTGTATTTGGGCAAATTAATGAAATTATAATGTTCATTTACCCAATTTTGAATTAATCAAAATTATCTTCATTCAAAACTTTAAATGTACTTTGCACTATTTCACTCCTATTACTAAAAAAAGGCGGAATACATACTTAATTCATAAAAGAATTTTTCTGCATTCTAATTACTCTTCAAAAATTACACTCTATTCACTCACCTTTATCTCACCCGCTGAGTGAAACAGAAAATTTTTTTTTTGCATAATGAGACCTAATAAATTTTAATGATTAAAATAATTAATTATTTTTTTTTTTATATAATTAATTTGCATTCAAAACATTTGCAAATTAAAAGCGAGATACTTACAAAATTACTTGCAAATAATTCAAAGACTTGTCATCACCTTTTTTCTTTACATACCAAATAGAATGTAAACAAAATATTCAACAAACAAAATTTTATAAAAATTTAATAATAAAGTACTTGTAGTTTCAAACTAGAGCTTATTATGTCATAACTTTGTATGGAAATTAATCAATTCATAAATAATTTTTTTTTTCTATAATTTTTAGGATGGCTTACATACTTCTCATATAACATTATCATATCATCATAACGGAGAGAATGTAATTGCAGATCTTTATTTAAATGATAATTTATTGCCACAAGAACATTTTTTACGCTTTCAAGACTCGAACGGAGGCAGTGATATTATAAAAAATTTTTCAAAGACTGAAATCGAACTTTGCCATTATCAGGTATACCTAAATTTTATAAAATAAATATAATTATTTTTTATTTTAATTCAATGATAAAATTTATAATTGTATTTATAGGGCAATATAAGAGGTAAATTCGATTCTAGAATAGCAGTGTCCACATGTAATGGCGGTATCAATGGAATAGTTTTAGATGGTTCAGATACATATTTTATACATTCCACACCAGATGGACAAATTCATGATGATCATTTTATATTTAAGTAAGAATGCTAAAAATTTTAAAATATGTATTTTTTTTTTTTATTGAAAAAAATTTGTCATAAAATATTTCTTTTATTTGACAATAATTGATTGAATGAGAAATTCAAGTTAAAATGCTGACGACATACAATTTTCAATGAATAATATCAAATAATAAATAGTTATATAATAGAAATAACTATTGCGTATACTGAAATTTTAAATTGAATTTAAATCAACAGCTTACTTAAAAAATATTATAATTTGTATTTTTTTTTTCTTTTTTAGACATTCAGATATAAAGAAGAATGCGACATGTGGTTACCAAGATGATAATGGGCAAAATTTATTGCGGGAAGATTTAATTAGACTAATGGGAGATATAAATAATTTGAATGACACCAGTAATCAACTTAGCAATTCAATAGAAACTAATAATAGAATACTCAGAGTAAGTTATAATAAGTGTATGTTGTGTTTAATAAGAAAATGAATGGAAAATAATATCTTTAAGAGCTATTAATCTGTATTAATTAACATTTAAAACTGAGATCAATGAATTTTAAAACTGGTTTGTTTAAATATTTGTGCAAAATATTTTTAATTTTAGAAGTAAGGCCTGTTAATTATTATTTGAGTTTTTACTCCTTAATACTCGTATGTTAGCATATCGTCGGTTAAAAGGCAGAAAGCACTAAGTGCATTTTTTGAGAATTTGGATTTCATAGATGAATTAAATCAGAATAATAATATACATATGTAATCCTTGTTGCGGCAAAAAATCATGCAAATCCGGAATATAGTTTGTAAATCCAGAAATTAAAGAGACCAATCACATTGCACTAATTGATTAGTTTTACAATTTTACGATTTTTTCAAATTGAATTTACTCAAAACCTGACTTAATGCTTTCTGCTTCTTAACCGACGATATATAATAGACGCTATAAAAAATATTTATTTGCTCTAATTTCTATTATTTATTATGGCAACAATATTGTTGAAAAATTGATTGAAAGATTTTTAGGTTCAGTAAACTTTTAATAATTAATATTTTTTTATTAATTTATATTGGATTTACCTCAAACGTAAATATTCTTTACGTAGATTCCTTTCAGATTTAAAAATTTGTCAAGGTCCAGCAAATGAATTAAAATTTTATGATATAGCTCAAAATTATAACTATCGCTTATACATATATAATAAAAAATATAATAAATAGAATATTGTTAGCTAATTTTACATTTTTTGTCTCGGGAATTTTATAGCCTATACTTAATAAGTTTTTAAAAGAAATTCATAAAGTTCGTTTATGAAAGCTTATTGGTCTAACTTAGTTTTTATGGAGAATATAAAATTCAAAATTTTTACACTATAACTGTAAAGTAAAAGTAATAATTAATAAATTTAAGTTTAAGTGACCTAAATCTATTCGGAATTTCAAAAGTACTTAATTTCAAATTTTTGGTAATCAGTAAACCAAATTTCAGAATTTCTTTAAATGCAAGTGTTGTAATATATCAGGAGCAATAAAAGTAGACTTATATAACTTTCAAAATAAACAATAAAGATGGACTGGGCCACTTTCAAAATAAACAATCCGCCAACCGTTAAGTCATTTGCTTTTCTATTTCTTGCTATTAAATTTATAGGACTACAAAAATTTATGCAGCATAAAAAAGACACAAGCATCAATTGCGGTTTATAAATTTAATTTTAAGATTCAATTAATTGCGATACTCCACGTATATTATTTGGACTGCACAGACAGAGTTTTTTGTAATCTATCTAGTTTAAAATTGTTTATTGTATTAAAACTATATTTGCTTCTTCTAATATTTTGAGTACATGAAGGTGAATTTTATAGATTAAAGAATTTTTTTATAAAGTACGCATCATAAAGTCTTAACATTTTAATTATAGCTACGATATAATAAATGTGTACTTATAACTAAGATTTTTGATAAAATTTTACTAAAGTTATAAATAAAATTTTATCTTATTTAAAAAAAAATATTATATATGCACGGACTGTACCTACTTATTTTTAATATTTTTTCTATTTTGAAATTTTTTTTTAGTATAAACGTTCCAGTGAAAGTGAGATTCATGGACCATACAATGCTAACAAATATTCGTCATTCGTAGAGCTAGTAATAGTTGTAGATAATAAAGTTTATCAGTCATTTGGTGAAAATTTAAAAAAGGTTCATAATCATTGTAAGGATTTGGCCAATATTGTAAATGCCGTAAGTAAAAAAACTTTAACTTTATAAAAGTATAAATATCTAAATATGATAATTAATGTTGCTAGCTTTACGTCCCGTTAAATATATTTATTGCATTGGTGGGTGTTGTCGTTTGGAGCGAGCAAAATGAAATTGTACTGTCAGAAGATGGTGATGTTACATTAAAAAATTTTTTAATATATCGAAAAACAAAACTGATAATAGATCATCCTAACGATAATGCGCAGTTATTGACTAAGGAACAATTTAGTGGTGGTGTCGTAGGTGAGATTATTATACATTTTAGTTTAAAAGTTTGTTTTTAATTTTTATATTAATCAATAATATTTTAGGTAAAGCTTTAAAAGGACCAATTTGTACTTTTGAGTACTCTGGGGGTGTTTCTATGGAACATAGTACAGTAGTTGGTGTTGTAGCAACAACGGTAGCTCATGAAATGGGCCACAATTTTGGAATGGAACATGATACCGCCGATTGTAAATGTGAGGAAGAAAAATGCATAATGTCTGCGTCAAGTACTTCAGTAGTGCCTCGCCATTGGAGTTCATGCAGCAAAGATCAATTAAATGTTGCCTTTTCACGTGGAATGAATTACTGCCTTCGTAATAAGCCAACTAAACTATTTGATTCGCCTCAATGTGGGAATGGTTTTGTTGAAGTTGGCGAACAATGTGATTGTGGGTTACCAAAATACTGCCAAAATACTTGCTGTGATCCTAATACTTGTATGTTATATGCAAATGCATCTTGTGCTACAGGTGAATGTTGTGATTTGACAACATGTAGACCAAAAGCTGCTGGTATCAAATGTCGTTCAGCTCAAAGTGAGTGTGATTTACCAGAATACTGTACGGGTGAAGCTGAATACTGTCCAACAGATGTTTATAAACGTGATGCAATAGAATGCGATAACGGTAATGCATATTGTTATCAGGGAACATGCCGTTCCAGGACAGCACAATGTAAAATATTATGGGGACCTTCAGGCCAAAGCTCAGATTATTGTTATGATAAAAATACAGATGGAAGTCGTCATGGTAATTGTGGTTTTGATAGACTCGGTAACAAATATATACCATGCAGAAAGGAAGACGTACGATGTGGAATGCTTCATTGCAAGCATTTAAATGAACGTTTAGAATTTGGAATGGAATCAGTAGCTGTATTATCACATAGTTTTATGAATCATAAAGGAAATATAATTCCATGTCGTACGGCTGTTGTTGATTTAGGTTTAGAATCTATAGATCCTGGCTTAACCCCAAATGGTGCTAAATGTGGTGATAATAAAATGTGCGTAAATCAAAAATGTGTTTCAATAGATAACTTTAGAATACAAGGAAGAGGAATTGCCTGTCCAGAAAATTGTAATGGAAATGGTGTATGTAACAGTAAAGGAAATTGCCACTGTTTCGTAGGATTTTCTCCACCTTATTGTAATTCACCAGGTTATGGTGGTTCTCATGACAGTGGTCCTGCCACAAATCCTAATAGTAAGTTTAAAAATGTTATTGCAAAAAAAAAAAACATTCAACTAAAAAAATAAATTATTTTAGGTAATGTTGGATTCACTAGAACAATGTATATATTTTTCTTGGGCGTTGTACCGTTTGTGTCGATATTTTTGTTCTTGATGTATTATTGGAAGCAGAATAAATCTTTCGATGGATTACGAAAATCCGCTAATGTGTATGTAGCAACTACTGAACCAATAACAACTTCCTCTTCTAAGAGAAAACTACAAATAACTGACATTAAATTAAATTCAACTACTAATCCGCACGTACTATCAAATTGCACTGATTTAGTTATTAACAATAATCACTGTGATAGGTCCGTGCAAAAATCTTAAAACATTTCTCATTAACATTTACACTTCCAAATACACATTATTTAATTTTTATTAAATTTTTTTAATAGTATTTTTTTTGTAAAATTGTTTTATCTATTTAATATTTTTCGTACCGTTTATATTTTATATTTAGTTTTATTTTAAATTGTGATTTTTTAGTACATATGTAGAAATAGAATTGTAAATCAATTTAAATTAGTGTGTGTTTTAGTAGTTAAACTTTTGCAATTATATAATTATTTAATAATTATTAAAGTTCTTTAAATAGTTTAATATGATTTGTAATTTTTCTCTGACCCTCTGTGCCTCGAATGCGCATTTTATGTTAGAAAATATTTTTATTTTAGATTTTGTATTTGCTTTTAGATGTTATGCATATATGTTTGAATATTTGTGTGTAAAAATTAATTGTAATCAGGCTTAAATTACTAATGATTTTTTATATTTTCCATTGTATAATAAATTTAAATAGGAAAATATTATCATCTAACATTTTAGTATAAATTTCAATTGTATATTTAGAATTTTTTATTTTTTATTAAATATATTGATCGCTTATATTGATTCTCATGATAAGAATTCTCATGATTCTCATTCTGAGGATGAAATTACATTTTCTAAAAATTTCTTTGCCTGTTTTTTTGTCAATTGTTTTGGAAAAATTTTGTAACAAATTATAAAAAAAAATAGTAATTAAATACTTTAAACAAAATTATTTAATTCCTTAAAATTTGTTTTATTTCAAATGTTTAATAGGCTTATTAAAATTTGCGTTAGGGTCTAATAAAATCCCAAAGGATTATAAAGACCACAAAAAATTTATAGCAAATAAATAAAAGTTGGTTAAAAATGTTAAAATATTTTAAAATGTTCAATTTTATACTTTCAAAATTTTCTAAATAAAAATTTTTAAAATCCTGTTGACAAAGATTTTTTTTGAAAATTGACTTTTTAAACATTTAAAATTGAAAATTATATTTTAACATATTGAAAATTAAATTTTTTTAAATTAATCATCAAACCAAAAAGTGGTAACGGAAAGTTTTCAAGTTCATCTAAACACATGTTGATGAAATTGAATAATATGCATTTTACAATAAGTGTAGGAAACCATCATTACTAATATAATAATTTTCTTTTTGTAAAAGCTAGCGAAACTATCCTTTTCTTCTTTATAAATTTTTATGATTTGTTCTTTAGCTTTCTGGGAATGTGCTGTATAATGTAGAAAAATTTATTTAATTAATTTTTTCTATACTCACTTTGTTTTTTGTTTCTATGTATATGGTATGTAAGTTGTAGTTCTACTTTATTTACTATTTATTTTAAAATTATTTATTTATCTGCTTATATTGACCCTTTGGTGAAAAATAAAACAATATTTTTATTTTATAAATTTTTTAATATATGCTATTTAACATGTTGTGAATTATGATTGGTTAAATTGTTGATAGATCAAATTTGTTATAATGGCTTTTATGTGTCGTTTTGTAAAGCAATTGTATCACCAAAGGGTTGATTATTTTAAAGTAACTTTATTAAAATATATTTTTAAAAGATTTACAATAACAATGTTTAGAATTACAAAAACTTTTTTTTTGTATTGTTTATATTTTACTCTTAAGTTTAAAACCAGTTATAAAAATGAATCCATCTCGTAATGATGGCAGTGGTTCACCAAATTCTCCTTGCGGAGGTATGGCAACATCTTCACCAAGTAGCACAGATGATATGAATTCAGCTCTTTTAAAATCCCCTACTGAAAACAATTCTTCATCATTAAAGTTCGGGAAGTATAAAGGCTTCACTTTAGCTCCCTTACCTTATTCTAATACAAATCATGAAGGGCCAAAAGTTGCATTTGTTCATCCAGTAAGTAAATCGGCAATGATTGATGATCTAACTTCAGCTAGTGGCGCTCCATTACGGCATGCGCCTCCAGTTCCAAAACAATCACCATTAATGACAAGAGATAAAGGTTCTCCGATTTTAAATAAAATGACCACCCTAGATCGAACAAAAAAATCTCTGCAAACTATTTTAGATAAAAATAATTCGAATTTAAAGTGTAACGAAAAAATCGATGCTCCAGCACTACCTCCACCTAACCCGGGATTTAGTGCTAGACCACTGATATCAAATCCTGTACTAGAAGCATCAACTTGTACTGCAAAGGAAATATCAGATGATAGAATGTTGATCCCTACCAGACCAGCACCAATAGCTCCACCTACTTCAAATACACCTGATCCTAATAAATTTCAAATAAAGTCAAAGGAGGGGACTATTAAAAGAATAGCGTCATTTTTGAAAAAAGAAGAGAAAAGTGACATACCATATAAAATTCGACCGAAAATTGATAGAGAGCGTTTAAAAACTATCGAGATATCAGCACCGATATCCGTTGATGAAACTTTATCATCAGTTTCAATAAAAAATGATGGTGAAGAAAAAAATAAATTAAATAGAACACAAAGTATGAGAAGTCCAAAATCAGAAACACTTCCGAGTGGCATAGTATCTACACATCTACAAAGTGCTGGATCAACACGTTCTGTTAATCGTCCAAAAAGTATTGTTGGTAATAACAGACCGAAAAGTCCCCCACCTAGACCTCCAGCACCATTATTATCAACCTATAATGTACCGCAACCAACAAATTTAGTAAACAAAATACGCGAGAATGAGTACGATGATTGTGAGGCAATAGAAAATTCATTAAATACTCAACAAGGAACGGATTATAATACGTCGGCTGATGAAATTTACTCTGTTATCGATGAATATTCACCACCTGTGCCTTCAATTTCAAATAATAATGCCAAAAAAAATACAGATTTGCTTGAAGAGGACGTTGTGGACAATAATAGTTCAATGGGATTGTTGGGTGAAATTGTAAATGAAATTGAAAAGCGTAATGTTGATTCCATTTACTCAGCTTCAACTTTAAAGAAAAGTAAATCAATTGAAAGTCCATCAATTTCGTCGTATGCGAATAATTCGGAATCGCAATATGGTGCGGAGCCAAAAGGACAACTCAAAAGTAATGGTAATAATAGCATAAAAAATTCAGGAACTAATAATGCTCCAATAGCCAGAATTGCTCCGAATCGAACGACTGAAACCTCAAAGGTTACTTCAACAAATTCGTCAGGAAATTACGGTGCGAATTCTTTTTCAAGTTTTAAACAATCTAAATTAAATGCAAAACCGAGCGCTTCATCTGCTAATTCTTCCAATGTTAAAGTGGGTACTCAAATTATATCCAACAATGTAAATCAAGGCAAACAAGGAGGTATATCAAAACGAAGCCCATCGCCTTCTACCAATAGTAAAAATTCTAATGGTAAGTATAAATATATGCATCCTTAAAATAAGAAACTCAGAATAAAGCTTTTCTTTTAAAACTCAAACAAATATTGCAAATTTTTTTGCGAATTTATTCCTATAACTTGTTTGAAACGTGTAGTTCCTTATTCACTTTTTTTAGCAAAAATATTGGAATTCTTATATTAAATTGAAAATGAAACATAAAAAATTTGCTTTTCCTTTATGCTTTATATTTTGAAAAAATATTCATAAAATTTTTTTATATATTTTAGTTAATAAACCAGTGACAAAAATTAAAACTGTAAGTTCACCAAAATCCACTCGTAAATCATCTATTGATGAAAATAAACCATCTTCAAGTAATGATATAAATATTCTGAAACAAAATGCAGGAAATTCAAGTCAGAAACCGAAAGTTCTTTCAAAACCAGCTAGTATATCATCGGTTCATAAATCAAATATAAGCGGCCGTAGCTTAAATAAACAAAATTCAGTTCCATCATCTAATGACAATATCACAAAATCATTATCAGGGGCAAAATTACAGTCATTTGCGCCAACATTGAGTCGAAATAACAGCAGTGCTAAAACTAGTGATAATTTAGATAGTAATAATACTAGTAATAGTAATAGTAGTAATAATAAAATTGGGTTTACAAATAAACCAGTTCCCGGTAAAACCGTATCGTCTTTACAACAAAAATTTGAAAATAAAAATAAATCTGAAAATAGTTCCTCATCCGTTAATAAAAAATAATCTAAATAAATAAGCTACCCCGAGATTGTGATTAAATTTTGATGAACATTGTTATTTAGACTTGAAAATCTAATACTGAAAAATGGAATCAATGGAAATTTTTGATAAATACATAAATATTAAATTATAATCTAATGTTATAAAAAATGGTGCGTCAATTATTTAATATTTTATTTTTATATTCGAATATATGTACATATATGTATATATATATAAATTTGAATAAAATTACATGCATACATATGTACATGTTTATTTACAAATAAATAACAAGAAATTATATTTATGTAGTTGCATTTAGTTAGTTTAAAAACATCAGGAAAATGGAATTCCAAAGACTCTTATCTAATTCTGCACTAATTACCTTTTTAAGCTTATTTATTTAAGTTTTTTTTTTTAATTTTTGAATCTCCCGCAATTTTTTTTTTATTTGTGTCTATCAATGGTTGTGAAAAGTATCACAAAACTAAAATACAGTTCTCCTTGAAAAATATTTATTTGCTTCCTAAAAGCGCAGGATATCGTTGTCATAAATTTATACAATTTGAGCTGTTTTAATTGATTTAAACATAATATTATAAAATAGGATATACATTTATGTATGTATTTAAAGTCATATTTTTTGATTACACATAAAAAATTAGAAATTTTAAAGCTATTTAATGTTTTATAAAATTATATTTTATTTTTGTGTTATACTATAATTATTATTTTGCGAATTAGTTTAACATTTTGTAAATAGCACAGTTAAAATGTTGTAATAAAAATAAGCTTAGTGTAAATAACCAAAGATGTAAAAAATTATTTTAAAATATATAAAAACAAAGAAAATTATAAAATTAAAATCGAAAAATAAATATGTACGTCTATTGTTATTATACCTGTGTATAATAATAATAATATCCATATGCGTATATTAACATAAAAACATATAATGATTTATATATATGTGAAAATTTAATATGTAGAAATTATAAATTTAAGAATAGTTACGACTTGTATAGTTTTAAATTGATATATGTATTTCACATAACTCTAAAAATTATGGTAATGAAGATTGTAAACTTGGAAAAAAGAAAAACACATTGTTTAAAGAAAAATTACATCTTTATACATCATCATTGAACAAATAAAATTATTTTCAAAATATGAATTGTATATTATTTGTTTTAAGGTATAATTCTATATATTAACATTTTAATTTTGAATCCTTCCTTTTCAAGAGAAAGAGTTATTCGTAAATAACTCTTTATGATAAAAGATCTGACCCCAGTAGATACAAAAAATATGATAATTGCGTCAAAAGCTTTTCAGGAACTGCATTTTCACAATTAGTTTTTTATGATTGTATTTTGAAAACTATAGCCGATAATCGAAAATGTTAATATAACATATATACATATGTAGTTGCTTTATTTAAATGGGTTTTTGTTTGCTAATTATTTTAACTCTCAGATTTATCAACTATCGGTTTAATATGATTAAAACAGTTCAATTGAGAAAAAATCTAACGTCATTCTTTTATTATCAAATTGAATTCTGTTTTTACTTTTCCAATACGTCTGTTTTAATTTTTTATTTAAATTTTTTATATTAGTACGTAGTACGTGAATACCAGAATTCTTACTTTTAATGATATTTGATAATTTGTATGTTGTGCAATTTTTTAAACAACACAAGAAGATTGCTCAAAGTTTATAGTTATATTGTTAAAGTAAAGATAGTTGAAAAGAAACTTGATTTTGGCGGAAATTACATATTTATACAATTGAAATTTTTTTTAGAAATGATATAATTGAATTTTGCTAAATAAAATTTTGTTAAATTAAATAAAAACCCTCTAAATTTGTAAAACCTATGGTAAGGTTTATAATTTATAGTATGTCCTATGTAAATTAGCATTAATGCAAGGACAAGTTAAAAATATAGCCTTCTGAACCAATCTATACTAATTTTTGAAGAAATGGACAAAAACGAATTGACTTTTAATAACAAATTTAAAGTTTGGCTATTTTTTTAGTTTTTCTAATTGACTTGTCTAATGAGAGGCAATACGTATAAGGACACATTCGATTTCTTTGAATGCATAAAGGCCTAGTTCGGCTAATTTATATTCAATAATACCTACAGTATTTTTACCTACTTTCAAGTAATTATTAGTATGTAAATTAGTATAAATGAGTTGTACATGTACACATATAACAGTTTCCAAAGAAAAAAAAACTATTTTTAATTAATATTCATATATAATATTTTTATATGCCTAAAAGAAATTTTTATTTTAATATCAAGGTATAAAATTATATAAAAAAGATCCCTTTAGCACTTAAGTTTTATTACCGGTAATAAAATATAATTTATATTTTTTTTACTTATGTATGTACAAACACAAGAATAAAATTTTTCTTTTACAAGCTCAAATTTTTATTTTTTTGCTTTTATTCGAAATAAACCTAAAATTTAAGAATCAATCAACTTGGGTGTAGAAAAATTTCAATATTTTTATTGTGACCCTAAACTTTCAAATGGTCAACATTTTTTATGACTATAATAAAGGTAACAATAAACAGTCAATTTTCAACTCATTTTAAGTTTTTTTTTTAAGAAAGTTTTTATTATAAAATAAAGAGAAAGGATACAAATTTCAATAAAATTTGTACGAGTACATATGCACATTGTACATATGTTGAACATTGTGAAAAACTAAATTTTATTAAGGTAAAAGGTGTATTGGAAATTAAGTACTTGGTGCTTATAGAATTATAGTTATTTTTTTAATTTTAATCGGCAGATGTTTTATTATGGTACTCAAAATTTCGTAAAAGCTGAAATTTTTAAAAACCAAAATTTCTAATATTTTAAGAATTTATTCAAAAGTGCACAGTAGACTTCTATGAACAGTTTTTCAAATACACCTCAATAAACAGCAATTGGTTTAGTTTAATTTCTGTCTGCTTATAAATATAAAATTTGTGTAGTAGCTTTTTAGCTATTACATACTTAACAACAATTATTTAATATTAATGTATTCTTTCGCCAAATATTTTCGATTTAGAATACAAATAAACCAAATCTGATTAAATATGGCCAAACTCATTTTGTATTTTCAATAAATAAATTTACATTGTAAAAAAAATTTTTTGGCAAAATTACGATGTATACTAATTTTATAGTTAGGGTATGTAATAAGATGTAATATCTTAGTAAACTTGGTTCTGTTTTAGAAACCTAATAAAACAATTATGTAGTTTAGAAATATACCAAAAAAAAAAAACAATTTAAGCTTGACGAAGAATTTTTAAAATTTGAAAATTAAACAAAACTTACTTTAAAACTGGTCAAGACATTTAGAGAAATCTAAAAATAGCTTCTACTAAAGATCTTGATATTTTACAGATGCACATGATTTCCAGCATTATGACTAAAAATTTAAAATTAATATTAAGAATAGCTTGTATGATTTTTAGATTGGGGTTTTTAAATTGGGTTCTTACTATAGTGGTCAACTTATTCAGTTATTATGTACATATGTATGTATATCTTAGAGTGTTAGACTTGAATTTCAGATCTCAGTTATACTGAGCAATGGAACCAATTAATAAGTTCTTTGAAGAATTTGAATATCAGAAAATAAGTCTTGTTAAAGGGCAATTTAAAAATAGGGTACAATTGAATACAGGCCTGGAAAAAATATTTTCAGAACAAATTTATAGAAAGTTTGTGAATAGCTTTTAGAGACTATACAATTCGATCTGTGACATCCGTGATATTTTTATTCGAAAATTGAAGAAAAATATATAGAAGGTAATTCTGTACTTACTTTTTTGTGGATTTTAAATGTAAATACAACTGTATAAACTTTTTATTAAAAAAGATTCCCATTTAAATAATAAAACATGTTGTTAACATTATTTTTATGCTAGAAAAATAAATTCCCATAAGATTTGAGTGTTCTAAGTATGTACATTAAATGCTCTTGAAATGTATATTTATGCAAAATTGATAAAATTTTCTTGAAATATTAATAATAAAACTTATTGCATGATGTTCACAATGTAATTTATATGCATTCCAGGAGTAAGTACCTCCGGTTTTAATATTTTATATAAATTCAAATATTCTTAGTTCTGTGTAGAGTAGATTTTAAGAATATTGTTAAAACTTTAATGATGACATAAAATGTATGTATATACTTATGTATGCATATACTTGCATACATCCACATTTATTTATGATTTGACTTACTCTGCTGAAATTTCAAGTATGACAAAATTTCAAATAACTCTTTGTATAAATACAAAAGTTTATCCTTAATATAATATGAATGCATATAAAAATAGTAAAAGTTTGTGTATTAAAGTTAAGATGCTAAAAAAGTTATATAGAAAGTTTCGCTTTTTTAATAAAACGTGGGAAGAAACCAGAAGTATATTTTATTAAGTTAAGGTTTCAACAAACTTTGTTTATAAAAGATTTTGTATTTGGTGTTGTAAGTTATTGTCGATATATCTCTGTCTTTGTTGTAAGACAAAATGTTTGTATTATTTTATATCAGCAAAATAGAGGTTTAAATTTAATAAAATATAGCTACAAAAATAAATATTCTTATTGTACCAGGCAGATCTCTCGTTGGTTGACATAGATTTCGTTTTTAACTATCGGGTTAATAAATCTGATTATTAACTTTTTCTATATAAAGACATTACTTTGTATGGCATCAAAATACTAAAGTTATAAGGATAATTCACGCATTTAATTTTAACAAAATCTAGGATATTTCAAGAAGATTAAAAACTAACTATGTAAATGCTTATGTACATACATACTTATGTTTCAAGGGAAATGAATTTTAAATTTACTGTTTCGTTTGTAACGCTAAAAAACAAAGGATTGAAATATGTATAGTTCATTTGTCCGTCCGCCAACTTAAACTAACCCACTTTTATTGGAATTTAATTTATGTATACCTGTTCAATTCGGTAGAAACAGTGTTAAGATATTTGAACTTTGAATAGGTATAAAACTTTGAAAATAATAATACTCATAGCTTGAAAGCTGTAAATACTATTTTATCCTGAATTTGTTTCATTGCTTCATAATTTCTGAAAATAGTTTCCATGGAAATCTTGAACGAGTTCTTATTTTCAACTATTGAAGACTAAAGATTGCTCTTATTTTATGCAAACGAGTTTATTGACAAGATCATTGTTTCAATCAGAAAAGTTCATTATTAATTTTACAATGTAACAACTTTATGTAATGAACTCTAAAGCCTATAATTATTTTTCTCTATCTTTCTGTTTAAAAGCCCAAGAATGAAAACATAAGTTGCTGTAACGTTCTATTTATACCATTATATTATTATCATTATTCTAATTCTGCCGTATATTTGAATTTCTAACGAATTACAAATAAGCACTTACATACCTACATATAGTATATTAAGTTTTTAGACTGTTTGTTTGTTAGATGTCTGTTACCCATCACATTTAGAGCTTGATCGTCTATCATGATTATTTTATTCGCCAAGTGAGAAGAAAGTATGCAACTATCATATGAACATACATACATATGTTTGCTTAATATAATTTTCGAGTGAGAAGAATCATTCCGTGAAAGTGAGCAAAACGTTACATAAGAAATGGAGATACACGATTAGCATGTTAATCTATCAGATTTATAAAAATAACATGGCGGAAAATTTGCCACAATCAGTTGATTTTTGTTTTTTTTTTTTAGATTTTGTTGCCATTTTATAGATCACTATTATTAGGTCTGCCTTAAAACTTGAAAAGGCTTTAAAAAGAGAAAACAATGATGTAATTTCTCGCAAAAAGAAAAACTATGTATTTATAAAAATAGTTGATAAACGTCAAATTTGGTCTTGGATTATAAAAGTAAAAAACAAAA